TTTTTTTTTCATTTTCAATGTGGTTTTACCAAAAACAATGTTTTTAAAGAGTGAGGTTCTAAAAAGGGCTCTTTTTTTCTATATTATTTTTATCACTTAGTTATGCATTGGGATAGTGACTTCAAGAGAATTAATTTAAATCTTTTATATATGTTGTATATTAAGTTTTGTGAAAATATGAATAACTATCATAAAAAATACTTTTAATTCAATTTGGGCCCTAAAATATTGACTAGATTAGTTCTTAAAGAGACTTGTCCACAGTTGGTATGTATTTATTTTGAATGCAATTATCCAAAATAAACTTTTATTTTGGTTTATAAATATCAATTTGTTTTATCTAAAACAGGTGTGCATTATCCTTTAATTCTATACCAAAAATAACATCTGATACCAAACAAAAAAATTATTAAAGTTTAATCATAACAGGGTAGTGAAATACATATGAGCGAAATGAATAATTTCTTCATAATGTGGAAAATAACTATGGAGAGAAAGAGTTAAATCTTAATCCTTCATCACATACACAATTTAGATAGTTGTAAATAAAAGGGATTAAAATTAAAACAGGCATTCTGCAAGCCAGTATTGCCTTAAACTGCTCAACTATGTCTGCATTTTTACTTCATTATAAAAGAAGACGTTTTTCTTTGGATACTAAACAAAGCAAAAGCTGTTTAAATAAAAAAGTGTTAAAACATATTTAAACTCATTGAAATTTAGTATATTAAACTATTTTTTTTATGTAACTTTGATGAATTATATCTGAATTTAATTAATTTGTGTTTTTAGGGTTGTGGTACAGGTTATGATAAATTTTAGATCTATACTGGTAGACCTGTTGGCATAGCAATACTAAATTCTTGGAGTGGGGTGTATATTTCTTGGCCTTTATATTGGCTGCAATTTGGAAATCACCCTGTAGAGAACAGACTAGACAAAGAGGGCCTCCATTAGGCTGCCATATAGTTCCAAGATTATTTCTGTGAATGAGAGAGATGCTCTCTAACCACATCAAACATTTACTGCAGCATTTTCTCACATACATTCTATGTGTTCAACCTCACTGGGAGGAGAAATGAGAAGGGGCTGGGCATGAATAAAGTCGTCTACAGTGATTTTCTCAGTCTTTTAACATAAGGATAAAGTTTGTCAAATACCTGTACTTACCCAATATTATAATATTTGATCTGTGTATCAATTTTATCACTCTGCTCATCAGTACCTTTGTATTATCCTACAGAGATCTGTACGTAGTGAGTGACACAAACTGGCTGCTAGAAGAATATCACCATTGTCTACCAGGTGACTCTAGGTCTTTACCTGATCATAGTTCACAAGACACTGACAGTCATAAGTTGACTATCACAAGTCAACAAGAAAAAATTCCAGAGAAGGATCATGTGATTAGCATCAGACTTGAGCAAATAACTAATCTCAGAGATGATGCCAAAGAAGGTGATATTTTATCTGCTCTTCCCCAAAGTGTTTTGAACTGCTCAATGTTGATCAGTACAAGGGAATCAGATAGTTCTATTTCTCAAAAGTTAATTTCTGCAGATGGAGATATGTGTGTCAGTATTGCCTTTCATAGTTCAGGTAACTCTGTCGTAAGTGATCAAGAAGTGCAAATCATGAGAGATAGTATTGAAGTGAAGCAAGATGAGATCTTGAATCTGTCCTGCAGCATATCAGAAAAACTGGATGAAGTCTGCTCACAGGAAGCTAAGATGATCTTTAACAATACCAATAAGTGCACTACTACAAATATATGTGAAAAAACTGAGAATGAGCCTAGTTCTACCAAAGATGCTCTGTGGAGTGCCAGTGTTGAAAATGGACGTAGTAAGTCCAGAGAGGTTCTCACAGATGACAGTAAACAATCCAGTGTTTCATTTCAAAGTGACACAAGTATGTTTGGCAATGTTGGGACTTGCACAACTGATGTGAATGGTAGCTCTGTTGATAGTTATAGCAAGTCTCCTGAAAAAATAGAAGTGTCTGACATTCCCAGCACATTGAATAATGATAAGAAAGAAAAGAGTGAGTTAACGAAAAATGACATCCTCACTGACCAAACATCTGACTCTGTTTCACTTCCTTATGAAACATGCAGCCCTCTAGGGAAAGACCTACTGCAGCTCTACCTTGAAGAGACTGATTGTGATTGCTGCTTAGCTGTTGATGGAATAAAGTTTCTTGTCCACAAGTGTGTACTGTCTACTCGTAGTGAATATTTCCAGGCTATGCTAGGAGGCCAGTGGTGTGAAAGTAAGATGGAGGCAATCAACCTTGAAGGAGTCACACCCCAAGCTGTTGAGCAGCTGCTGTTGTTTCTCTATGGGGGTGTCTTAGAGATCTCCACCCCTTGTGAACTGACAGATCTATTCATTGTAGCTGATATGTATGGGATAGCATCACTAAAAAAGGTCTTGGCTTTTTACCTGAGGAAAGACCTCTGTCATTTTTTCCACAAGCCTTGCTTTGTGTGCACTGGCAAGGCAGCAGAAGCTCTGAGCTTGTGCTACAACTTTAACGTGGATGAGCTTCAGGATAGAGTGGTCAAGTGGGTGGCCAAGTACTTCACAAAAATCTGGCCAACAAAGTCCTTTGCCTCACTTCCGGAAAGTGTGCAAGATTTGAGTGTTGAGGGTATTAAATCACAGATGACAAGTAAAAATGTTTTGGACATTATCATGGAGTGCAACAAACTAATAGATACACTTCCTCGCATTAAGTGGACAGAGAGTGTCCTCTGCCTACTGACTCAGCTGATGGACACTGCCATAGAGTTTACTTCTTCCCACTTTATTGAAGTCATCTCAACACAAGAATTTCAGCAGTGGGCCAAGGTGGCCTCATGGAAAGCTGGTGTCTTGGAGGAAATTTTCAACACTGTTATTGACTCTTTGCCTATTAACATCTCCTGCCAGGTCTATGAGAAACTAACCAACTTGGAAGCTGATCTTTCTGTTCAAGAAACTTCAGATATGGATGTTGTTGGACTGCTGCAAGCTATGATAAAACGTTGTGAGAAGTTTTTCAAAATCCACATCAACCAAATCATGAGGACCAAAGACTGGGCGCAGCTGCGGAAACCTCTGCAGTCTAAAATTTTGGAAAGTTCAGCCTATATGTATTTAGGAGATGTAACACTTTCATCTGCCAAGTCAAAATTTGCTTCGAGACAGAAAGTTTCCACCTCTGTGCCAGGGAATAAAAAAGTGCTCCTACGATCCATAAGTAGCCACCATAGTAACGCCCCGGCAGATAAATCTACAAAAGCTGGTCAATCAGTTGTTCAGCTGAGAAATCCAAGTGGCACTTCACAAAAAGAACGACCTAAAAGCAGTATCACTCTTTTAGAACAAGCTAAGAGGCTAGAAAAAAGTGAAAAAATGTCAACTTCTAAAAATGTGCTTCAGCCTAAGACACGCTATACAATTGCAAGCTTTGGTTCCAGACTGCCAAGGGCAGAACCAATAAATAGCAGCCATATAGCAAAAGGAGAGGTAAGCAACAAACCAACAGTTTCAGAAAGCAGCTTTACTAGTTCAAATACAAAACTATCAATTATTGAAGGGGTAGCACAGAGTGACAAAAATGGGGATCAGGCTTCATGTTCACACCCAGTATCATCACATCAGATATCTGCAGCAGACACTAATACATCAGCTTCATCTTCCAGCACTAAATGTTTACCTTCTCGAATTCCTATGTTGACCAGATCTCCTAAAGTAAACAGACCAAAACATGTTTCAAAGAATGAAAACTCTGATCAGCCATCCTCTGTCTCACAGAATATGGCTTTAAAGGGTAAGGAGACAGAATTATCCATATCTTTTGGTAGTGATAAATCTGTAGAGACAAAGCTGAGGAAAAATTTTGTGGATGCTGAAGTTGTGGACATGTCCAGCTCAGCTACATGGTCTGAAAAAAGTGAGATGACCGAGTCAGCTTTATCTACTTCATTGTCAATGGTAAGTCCTCCTGTGGAGCACTCAGATGCTATTACCAACCAAGCCATAGCAAACATAAGCAGTGAGCTAACTGCACCTGTTAATATAGTAACTATGAGCAAGACACTGAATATAGGTTTTACAGTTCCTGCTGAATGAATATTTGTTACTAGAGCTGATCTCAATACAAAATAAAAACTCATAGCTGTATTTATTGAACCAAATCAATATAATAATGTCACCTAATTTAACTGCTGATTTAACTGAATCAATGGAGTTTATCCTTTTTATCTTTTTATAAAAAATGTATTGTCAAAAAATATATTTGCATGAAAATTTCAACGTAAAAATTACAATTCTTAGGATAATATCATATGCACAATTGCATAATTGTAACTTTCCTAGCCTAGAGGTGCTATTTTATTTCAGTCAGTGGCGCTTAATTTGATGAATAATCAACTCTTTGCCTTCCTTGATCAACATTTTTTTGGGAAACTATTAAAGCTTTAAGATGTAGTTCTTGTCATGTACAGCCTGTGAGGGACAGACACTCCAAGGGTGAAGGATGCTTCATGTGATGGTGCAATATTTTATTTGTTTTTTTTATTTCTTTGACACATGAAATATAACTTTTAAAAGTTCTTTGATGTATTGAAAATTAAGGTGAAAGTAGAACAATAATTTAAACACTGGCATTGACATTGAATTTTCTAGAACATTAATAGAACATTCAATATTTTTATCCTTTTGCAATTATCAGAGAAGGATCTTCATGAAAACTGGCCCTAAAGGTAGCTGGTGGTTTGGTTATGTATGTAGTGTATTCTTCAATAAACCCTTGCTTACATGTTTAATAAATGTAAGTTACATATATACATAGTGTGTTTACTGAACAGTGGTTTAATAAACCTTAATTTACCAACAAAACTCTGGTAATCATTAGAACTGGTAAAAGTAATTGAGACATCCCCCCCCCCCCACTGTCTATACATTCAACTTTGATCTCCATGCCACCTTCATTTATTGACTCTATAGTTGGGGGCTAGACATGAAAGTTGAAAGGCCCTATTGTTTATGTTTAACTAGCAAGCTCAATACTGCTGTAAAAGAAAATTATGTTAAAAAAAATTCAAAGTAGATGGCTCATATTATTTTCCTACTGTGATACAGGGACATGACACATTGATGTACAAGTAACATGTATCCATTCATTACATTTTTATGTGACTTTTTTTGCAGCTTTTTCTTTCTTCCAAATTGAAAGTTATGGTATCCCCTTAGAGATATTATTTCAATGTTCTATACCAGAATCTAATGGTATCACATCTATAGCAAATATTTTAAGGCTTCAAATGCAAGTTTTGTTTATTGTACATTCAGCTTCCAGGAATCAATGTGATGAACATGTATCTTGTTTATGTTGCAAAGAAATGAGTTATGTCTTAACAATACTTTATAGTCATAGACTACTTATTATACAGACACAGTGTATACCAATGAGTAACCTTTTAGTCTCATGGTGTAGCAGCACAAGGACTAAGTATCAATGTAATACTTTCATTGCTCAGATGGAATTTACATTTTTTTAAAAGTAAAGCCAAGAATTTTGTTTACAGTCTACAAAAACAATTATTATTGAATGTGATGGTTACTATACTGTGATATTTGTTTGTTTTTGTGTTTGTTTTTTTTCAAAACTTTTTTGTTTATTGGTGTATTTGCATAGAAAATGTAGACCACAAATAAAAAAAAGGTATTTTTAATGGTATACCAGTGAAATGTTACCCCCCAATATCCTACTGTTTTAGACTTTTTAGTGTGATAGAAAAAATTCTTAATAAAATCAACAATAGAAAAGTTTTTTTTTGTTTCTTGTAATGTTTTAAAGTGTGCAAATCTGTGAGATCTAGCCCATATCTATGTCTATGGTTGAAACTATTTCAATTTGAATTCTTCATAAACATTCAAAGTTTTCATTTCAGCTCCTAATAAACTAATTTAGCTCCTTTTCTCACACCTGTGAAGTTAGGTGGATACAAGAAATTTTCATATTAGCTCAGTCATAAAAAAAAATTAAATTTCTAGTAGAAGGTAAACTCGGCGTTCCAGTACCACCTCATCGTGGTCGCCGCGTGAACACTCCGCTCTCCTGGAGTGGCCAAGGGTACTCGTTGCTTGCCGCTGATGAATGAACAGCCGGCAAGTGGGGCCCCGGGGCAACGGTAAGTAAGAGACCTAACGGGATCTCCGAAAAGCGGATAGCGCTGGACACCAACTCGAGGGTTGGTCGGGTTCTCCTGGGACTCGGCTGATTCGCGGGTCTCTCTTCGGGCAAAGACTGGACTGACTGGCGCGGCCTTTGCGGGCTGCGTCGGGCGGACTGGTCGGCGCCCACGAGCTAGGCTCTAACTAGCCCGTCCCCTGTGAGGTAGTAGAAGAACGTGCTTCCCAATAAGCAGTTTCGATACTGGGGATATCGAGCAATCCTCACACAACCACTCCTCCTGTAAGCGAGCTCTTGCCATACGGAGGTGGTGACCAGTGGTGCGGACTTCCCGCACCCTAGAATCCCGGAACCTCTTGCAGGCCCTGTGTACACTACTTTCTAATCGGCAATAACTAAGGCCGCCAACGGCCTTCGACTTCTATGCAAACATGAATAATACACATCAAACCAGAAAACCCGGGTACGAGCAGACCCGAACAGGCTCCGTCGCGCGGGTAGTGGGCGGCAGGCCCGACAACGAAACATACTTTCCCCTTCCCAGGACAAAGCCCTCTTCCCAGGCTACACTTCCTCTTCCCAGGCTACACTGCTTTCGTTCTTCCCTCGGAAGAACGGTAGCCAAGGTGTGGCTAACCAACCACACCAACCTGGTGATCATGTCCCGCACCAGGCCCAACCAACTATTACCACCAAAAAGGCCCAACCGACTACGACCAACGAAGCGAGGACCATCGGTCCTCCAAAACACCAACCATTACAACGGTTTGTCGCTTCCAGTCCAAAACCCTTAGGGAGCGATAAACTTAGCCAGATAAAAGTACTTCAGCTCAATATCTGTGGCTTAATACCCAAGATATTAGAGTTCACAAAACTCCTTCATGAGAGGGCAATAGATATCGCGCTCCTGCAGGAGACTCTGGTAGGCAAGAAACGAAGTAGCCACATCAGTGGTTACACGGCTTATAAATGTAAATGCGATGAGTGCCGTGGAATTATCACATATGTTAGAAACGGCATGACAGTTTCACAAAATCCTGGCCCTCAAAGCGGGCGTACCGACGCCATCTCGCTTGATATATTCAAAGCTGGTAGAAAACTTACGGTCATTAATTGTTACAACCCGCCAAAACACGAGCTTGCCATTAACCTCGGCTCTATTAGCTGGGGACCTAAATGCCAAGTCTCCGGCATGGGGCTATGACGCAACCGACTCCTCGGGCCAGAAAGTCCAAGAAATTCTCAACACTACGAATTTATTCTGCCTACAGAATAAACACAGCCCGCCAACCCTCCTACACACTGGCAACTTAACTCTTATCTCCGCAGACCTAGAGGGGAAAACCACAATTAATGTGCTTGAGGATGTTGGAAGCGATCATAGGCCCATAGAAATCACTATTGCCCTCTCAGAGGCCAGGGGTGTAGCAACTAAACGGCCCAAAAAATGGAGCTACACTGACTGGCCAGCGTACGGTGTATGGTCGTGTATCGCGGTGGAGGAAGGGACAGTCGACACTAAATACGGCGAAATCACTGCAGCGATTTTGGGTGCGGCTAGGAAGTATATCCCGCGGACACGGCATAGACCCGCCTGGTCCCGAGAATTAGATCGAATAGTCAGGGCCAGAAAACAGGCGAGGTGCAGAGCACAAAAAAAGGGGACACCCGAATGCCGCAGGGAGTTCAACGCATTATGCCGGAAGGCCAGCGAGGTGGCCCAACGTGTACGGGCGGACCACTGGAGGGATGCCTGTGCCGGGCTGGATCTTCGGGATACTTCCAAAGCCTGGCGTCTTCTTCGCAATCTTGAGGCCAAAGATTCGGCGCGTACAGCCACCCCATTATTGTCACCCAGTGGGGATCGAGTGGCAAAAGATTTAAAAAAATGGCCGACTTGCTTAATAAATATTTCGCTTCGATAAGCAAGTCCGAAAAGAAGACAGCCACGTCTATAGCCCTCAACAAGGAGCGTAAAAGACTCGAGAGGGAGCCGGATGGGTCGGAAGACCTGGACACGTGCAACGCGCCCTTCTGCCGTGCTGAGCTGGACAGAGCGATAGCTAAGTGCAAAAACAGAAAGGCTCCGGGGCCAGAAAGGTTACTCCTGAGATGGTAAAACACCTCGGGGGTATTGCGAAAGACAAGCTCCTTGAGTTTGCGAATCGGACCTGGGTAGAGTCCAGACTACCCAGGGCCTGGCGCTGTGCTACCATTGTTCCAATACTAAAAAAGGGCAAAGACGCGACTAACGTGGAGTCCTACAGACCCATATCCCTGACCTCCACTATCGGCAAGATAGTAGAACGGATGGTCAGCGAGCGACTCGTGTGGAGCTTTGAGAATGCCGGTATCCTAGCGCCAGAGCAGGCTGGCTTTAGGGCAAGCTTGAGCCCGATCGACCAGGTCACAGTTTTCATGCAGGAGGTGGCCGATGGATTCCAGAGGTCCGAGAGCACATATGCAGTTTTTATAGACCTAAAACAGGCTTATGACCGGGTGTGGAAGCAAGGCCTCTATCTTAAGCTTAGAGCCATGGGCGTACGCGGGCAGACCTACAACTGGATAAAACAGTTCCTAACGGAGAGGAAAACACGAACACAGTTCCAGTACTCTCTAAGTGGGGAAAACACTCCAATAAGAGGGTTACCCCAGGGATCCGCCCTCTCATGTATCCTTTTCATGGCCTATCTTAATGATTTGCCCAGCTCACTCCGGTGTTGCAAACTGCTATATGCTGATGACATTGTCCTCTGGTCAACCGGGAAGAAAGCTGACCAACTTCAGGCAGCATTACAAGCCGACCTCCATACCACCTCCTCGTATTGTTCAAAAAGGCAGATACGAATCAACGTTGCCAAAACGACCTGGTACCTGTTCAGCCTGGGAGTCGACATTCTTGGGGCCCCATTCGAGCTCCAACTCGGTGAGCTGCGACTCCAACGTGAAAACACGCCAAAATATCTAGGAGTCACCCTAGGATAGGAAGCTCTCAATGCACTTGCACATCCAGGATGTTGAACGAAAGGCCTCGGAGAAGTTAGGGTTACTCAGAAAGCTAGCCAGTACCAAGTGGGGCTGTCAGATCCCAAATCGAGTACAGCCTGCCCGTGCAGGTGTACGCAAGCAAGACGGCTCTCGAATCACTAGACCGTGTACAGGCCCAGGCTCTCAGGTTCATTTGCGGCACCTATAGAACGAGCCCAACTTCCGCTGCAGAAATCATGTCCAACGTGGCTCCTCTCAGGCTGAGGAGAGAGCGCGCCGTACTAACGCCCTGGAACGCTACAAAAGGGGCGAACCAGGGCTCCCGACCCATACATTAGTCACTCAGTGGAGAGTAAAAAAAACAGGATAAAACGGACATCATTCATGCACTGCGCGTCAAATTTGAGTGCTCAAGCTGGCCTCTCCACTGACCGGGCCCCAATCCGACGGATAAGCACGTGCCCGCCCTGGAGGAGACAGCCCATCCCTCCCATAAATTTCACTATACACGGGTTGGAGGGGGCCACAAAACGACACACACACCCGTATTTACTAAGAAAAATGGCAATGGACACACTAAAGACCTACCCGGCCGATGCCATTTACTGTTACACAGACGGGTCGGTCATGAAGGACTCCGTAAGAGCTGGGTATAGGGCCTATATCTGTTACCCAGACCACGAACCAGACAAGCTGTCAGGCACATGCGGCCTCGCCGCATGTAGCTTTGATGCAGAATTAACGGCGATAACAAATACACTCAATTACCTGCTCCACAAACTGCGTGAAAAGAAAACCGTTGCGACAACCGTTGTAATGGTTACCGATTCCCAGTCCTGCCTCCAAGCCATGGCTGGCTTAGGGGGAAAGTCCAAATTGGTGGAAGAGGCATTAGGCGCCGCAAATAACATCCGCCTATTTATTGGAGCTGTCATCTTTATGCAGTGGGTGCCCTCGCACTGCGGCGTGAGGGGCAATGCCGTGGCTGATGCTCTAGCAAGAGAGGGAGCGCTGGCCGTGCCCACTTTCGAGTCACCAAGTACGTTTCAACAGGCTACCACAGTTATACGAGAATGGGCACAAAATGGTTGAAATCCTGGGATGATTCCAACACTGCCAGGGGAGTCTGGCAGCACATGCGTCGCCCAAATCGAGAGGACCCGTGGTGGAGGCTAAAAAGGTCGGAACAAACAACAATAGCGCAGTGGTGTACGGGACACTGCCCCATAGGTGCGTACTTCGCCCGGTTCCGGCCAAATTTTGATGCCCGTTGCCGACACTGCGGGGAATCAGAAGAGACGGTGGCGCACGTCTTGCAAGAGTGTCCGCAGCTCCGCGAGCTGCGGGAAGACGTATCCAGTGGTTCACTATGTTTGTATGGAAGCTATGAGGCACTACGCCAAACAGCAGAGTTCCTTACCAGGGCACTACGGGAGTCCTAGGTCTCCCTGCCTTGTCACCAATTGGAGTTCATCTCAGTAGGAGATAAACTGCTTGATTGTAATGCTGATTCCCCTACATTTAACCCCCCCCCCCCCCCCCAAAAAAAAAAAAAAAAAAAAACAACAACCCCCAATAAACAAAGCATGTAACATAATAGCAGAAAACAATAGTTACTGAGAGAAGGTGAAAACTGTAGGTTGGCTTTTAGTTCAAGGACATGGTCAGATGTTAGCTGGTCACTGCTAGGCAATGTTGCACAATTGGAGATCCATAGTTTTGAGTCCTTGCCAGAGCTTGCATCTTTTTTTTACCTTCTCTCAAAAACGATTGTACTCAAGAGCTGCCATCATATGAAGTCAAGTTTACTGAGTGTAGCATCACAAGTTTAATTATGTCAAGACTGAATGCTGATAGCTATTAGATCAAAATTCTATACTGCATAAATGGTAAGTTTAAACAAGTTAACATTTGAGAAATTTAATAAGATATTCTAGTTTGACAAAACGAATAAAATTGAATTTTGTTAGCTCAATAAGTCTTTGAGATTGCATCAAGAGTACAGTATATCTTATATGCTATGACATATACTTTAAAAAAAATGGCTTATTTAGAATAGTTTTTCTAAAACCTATTATTAAGCTAATTAGGATCCACTGTAAAACCTAAGAGCAAATATTCTGTAGAGTAACAAGGAGGATACAAAATTCACACTTTGAATCACCATGATATTTAGTTAAGAGTATATAGCCTACCATTTCAATAGTAAAATCTCTTAGAACTAAGATTAGCATCACAAGATTCACAGGATGTGATAGAAACAAAAAGTTGTATTTTTATCGAGTCCAGTATTTGAGCAGTAGTAAATATATTGAATGAAATTGAGATGGAATATAATAATAAGTGAATAGTTAAAATATGGATCAAATACTAACACACTGATTACTCTTTTAGGTTTAACCTACTTATCTAGCCTGAAAATCCAATGAATACCATACATATTTAACAAATTTATGACACAGGGTTCCTTTTTTTTCCATATAAAGAAACAAAATAAAAATGTCTTTAAAATTTTTTTTATTTTTGAGATCCAAAACTTTGGTGCTAAATGTATAATACCAACATAAATAATCCAAGGTTGTCAACATCTATCAGTACAACTAGTGCAAACTACAATCCAGATACAAATGAGATCCAACCAACAAATGGAAGTACTAAGTAGAAGATTGTAACAAACAAAAACTGACAACAGTAACTTTTGTTTACAAAATTAACAGATTCAAAAATGTTGTTTTTCACATCTTTACAAAATAGAAAATACTTATATTTATATGAAATGTTACAGTTAAATGTCCAACATTGCATAAGTCAAACCTAATTTAAATTTTATGGGATTGTGTATAATTGTATGTCATAAACTTAGGTAGTTCTGCAGACACATGAAATTAATTACACAAGTAATTGAAGCGATTGTAGTAAATCCACATCAACTTCCCTATAGATTATAGCAGCTGCAAATAACTCACTCTGTTGCATGGAAAGTTAGAGATTCATTAGAACTGTTACAGTAATTCCTGCTGATTTAGACTATAGCAGCTGCAAATAACTAGCTCTATTGCATGAAAAGCTAGAGATCCATTAAAAAGCTAAGCCCTCACTGTTACTTTTTTTTATGCTTCTGTGATATTGTTATGGTTGCTATAATGAAAACATTCGGAGTCACTGCATCTCAGGTTTGTAGTTAACACTACCCTATGTAAAGCCACAATAATGATAGGAATATAATTCAGACATTTTCTTATTAAAATACAATGTATAATTGCGACAGAAAATAATTAAATTATCGTGACAGATATAGATCTATACTCTTGGATTTAAAAAAAAAATATTTTAAATATTGAGTTTTAGAAAAAAAATCTAATGTAGCAACAAGAACTTTTTAAATGTATGAAAATAAGACTTTTATATGAGAAATACAAATAAAACATTTACTTTAAAAAGACACAGGTTATTTTTTATTAATCTGGTCTTGAAAAGCTTTCAAAACCTGTATTTTAAGATTAAGGTCATCTCTCTTTAGCTTCAGATCATCTATCTGTTGCTTCTGAGCAGTTTTCTTTGTTTTCAAGTCACTTATGATCATTCGAAGCTCAGCTAGATTCAGCTCTTTGGCTGATTGAACATTAGTGATCAGAGCCACCACAGATGCTGGGCTTATTTTATTCAAACTGTTTAGTTGGGCTATAATACTATTGGCTTGCTCTGTCAAGTTAGCAAATTGGATGTAGGACCTATCCACAGCCAGTTGGGCAGATGACAGCTGAACTTTAAAGTTTGACACTGACGAGTTAAGGTCAGAACACTGCAGCACTGCTGGCTGGAGAATGTTTAGTCTAGTGTTGGTCAGTATTCTAAATCTATCAGCACTCAAATCAACACTGTTGTTTAGCTTGTTCTGAATCAGTCCGGATAACACAGACACCGACCTGAATTCCTGCAACAATCATTTACTGTCAATTAACTAATTTCATTGTTAGAATTCTAAAAAAAAAAAATGAACAGAAAACTGTCATATAAATCAATTTTTAAAATAATAAAAAGAGTCATTGCTTAATATAAGAATCAGAATTTTAATTTGAGAATTGAATTGAGTTGATTGGTGTTTGCTGAGAGCCTACTGAAACCTTCTCCCATATACTCCTTCCTCCAGGTATTCACAACAGAGACTGAATCAGAGCACACTGAGAATGTAATACTAGCTTGAAAAATTTACAAAACCAATACTAATCATCTCAGAGCAATTCCTTTGTTTTTACCAGGACTGAACTCTTACAGTTTTTGAATGGTTTTATGTACAGATGTTGTCTATAGTGTCCTTCTACCAGAATGATTCATTTCTGCATCTCAGAATGTAGGAAATCAAACTCTAGGGACCAGTCAATTCTTAATAACAGTATGCTAATTATCAATTAGCACAGGGCTCCAACATTCCATAATTCAAGCCTACATATATAATTAAACAGTATGTTCCAAATAGATTAATATTTATTTAATCACATATACCAGTGCTTAAACTATACTTAGAATTAACACATTTATTTTAAAAGAAAAATCTTTTCAAGTGATGCTTTAATTTGTATTGATAATTAGCATAAATGTATTTGTTCCTGTCTTGGGCCATGCATAGAGGTTGCTTGGGTTGAAAAAAAGAAAAAACAACTCTAATGTTTAGCAAAGAGTTTTCATTTAATACCATTCAATGGCTGCATTAAGAAAGTAAATACCAGCTCTCCTGGTGGATGTATGACAAAAACAATTTTTTTTTTTCAACTCTTCCAACCCTTAAACATTTTTTTAAAAACTTAACTCTTATAAAAATCTAGAAAACAAAAACAACTAAACACTGAGGTTGTAATATATAGACTGAATGTATACCTTTTTAGTGAACCAAAAGAAATTATGACCATTAGCTTTTTTTTTCCCCTTCATTTTTTCATGTCAAAACCAGGAGTTTAGACTGTTCAAGTGAAATACCTCTGTTGCTAAGGTTTAATGAAGTATGTAAGCCTATTAAAAATAATCTTTAGAAATCTAAATTCTAATTTATTATTAAACAAAGTTCAAATACATCTACCATGCTCAATCAATATTCCAATCAGATCATGATAAACTTCTTAAAAGACTAACCTCTTGTCTGATCATGATAATTCCAAGTGCTTGCTGAGCGGTGAGTTTGGCTTCTGAGGCTGTTTGTTGTAGCTGGGCCAATGTCTGTGTCACAGTTTGAGACTGTAGAATCAGTTGTTCACTCATGGTGAGTGCAGAGGTCAAGGACACATTCAGTGCACTCACCTGCTGCATAGAATCTGCAAGGAATATTTTTTACTGATAAACAATTTTTTACGAATCATTATGAAGTTGTTGATTTTTTAATTAATAAATTCTGAAATATAATATCCTTTACTCTGCATAGGGTGTATTCAAGATGCTTAAAAGTTATATGGAAATCATTAAACACATTTTTAAACAGACTTTTCTCTTGACTAAATTGTGCTAAGATGTAATTATAATAAAAGCAAATCTTTACAGTGGAAAAAAACAGTTTGGAAACTGAAATAAATATTATATTTTTCTTTACACTTCTTTAGTATACTGATTTAGGTGAAAAACAGACTTATGCTAGTTCTTTATTATCCTGATAAAGTTTCAGCACAAAGAACAATATTACATGGCAAAGAGACAGTAAGAATGGCACTAATAATTGTCATGGCTACGCAAATTTCCATGTAGCTTTTGATTCCTCTAGCATGCGACAATTTTAAAACACATTTATAATTTTATATCATCATGTAGCATTACCTTGAACCTTAGCAGTGAAATTATTGAGAGTCAATAAAGTTTTGTTGGCTTCCTGCAACATATTGCTTGCTGTAGCTTGAGTGGATAAAGCCTTTTGGGATGCCACACTGGCCCTATTCTTCCAATCAGCTGCTGTTAATCCTAGAGTTTGAGTACTATTGCTCATATTGTCAGCTATGGGAACAGTAGTCAAGGCATTGACATTGGAAGTATTAAACATAGCAGACTCAAAAACAACCTGCAATAATGTAATAATAAAGCTTAACCTTCCATGGGAAAAACCTTTAAAACGTGGGAATGTTAGAACATGCTAACATATCCTTTGTAGATAAAAATAAAGCAAAAGTTACTTATTAAATACTGTTAGATAGTAAAACTTAAAGAGAATTAGGACAAAAAGTAAATATATACAACTTAAGCTATATTAAATTTGTGATTGATGTGTTCATAAAGAATATGTTAACTTTTAATACATAAGACATTACTTGAGATTTGTGACTGATTAAAATTTACTGTGACTATAAGAAAAATATCTGTGAATGGATTAAAATTAATATGAAACTGACCACTGAGTGATATGATAATTACCTGTGACTGATAGGAGCTAGTCAAGCTCTTTGTTTCAGACATTTTACTAGCAAGACTTGCAATGTCCAGTTTAAAGTTCACAAACTGAGACAGCTTAGACTTCAAGTTGGAGGCAGTAGATAATAAATCATAACTGGTATTTGCTAAGTTATGAGCATTGGCCAAGGACTTGATAGCACCACTGACAAGGGCGTCGATTCTGGTATCTAAAGCTAGCAGAATTGATGTATTGTTCTTATGGATCTGATTGGCAGCTTCAGATTTCTAAAACCAAATTAATACTTTTTTTTTATAATTTTCATTATCAAATTTATGGATATAGAGTTCCTTTAGAAATCATCCGTTTTATAAGCATCCATTTCTCCTGACTAAATCAGTATTAAAACATCACATCACAATGGTTTTAGGAAATTTTGTAAGACACAAGTAATAATAATCATGGGTGATTTCTAAAGCATTCATATAAAGATCACTGTGTTAAATTAACTAAAATAAGTAAACACTTACGCATTTTGTGGTCAAATAAAGAACAAAAAGTAAACATAAATAATCTAAATCAAAAAATTAACTGTCATTGATAAGCTCCATAAGAAAAAATACCACAATTATATTTAGATTATCTGTTGAAACAAAATAAGATTTTAGATTAGTTTGCCATATTAGCTCTCGTGTTTATGTTTGTAATGTTATCACAGCGCCTTGAGCCCACATTTTGTTTGTTAACAGCGCTTTATAAATAAAATTATTATTATTATTATTATCTGTCATTGACTACATAATGCACAAAAAAATGTGAACAATACAATAAAAAAAAAATATTAGAAAAAAATAGAGAGAGGACAGTCTCAATTAGTTAAGCTAAACAACAATTCAGAAATAAATCTTTATTGGTAAACAAAAGGCCAAATATTTTTTAGGTTTTTTATTTTTAATTTCCCTTAAGTATGACTTGTCAGCTATTTAGCAATAATAATAATAATAACAATTTAATTTATAGAGCACTGCTAACAAACATAGTGTAGGCTATGATATCATTACAAACACAAGAGCTAAAATGACAAACTTATCTAGAAAAGTTTTGAACAGATAAAACTTAATGTAATAATTTTTCAAAAATGTCTTATACATGCATTAGTTTTTGTAGAAAAATCATTTCTGTGATACTATTTGATTTCAAGTTAAATTGCTTCTCTTACCTGTTGAGCACTAGTTAAGAACTGGTTGGCCAAAACCAAAGTCTCATTGAGGGTGCTTAGTTCTTTGACTATTTCTTGATCAACCAATGAAGAGTTGGCAACCATCATCAAATATTGCTCCACTGTTTTTAAACCAGATGCCAAACTGGACAATTTAGCCTGGCTTACTAGCAGGGAGGCTATAAAAAATTTTACATGATTAAGATTGCACTTAAAACAAGAACATTTAAGGGTAAAGAAAACAAAGAGATTCTTGTTATCTTGTTATTGCCAACTATTTGTCCACTTAACAATGGGATACCACAGTAAAATGAGTAAACGATGTGACAAAGCAAAGTCTGACAAGTAAAATGACAAGTTATTATGAGGCGCGCTTGCAGGCATAAAGTGCAATTTGAATAAGAACAAGAGACAAGTATAACTAAAACTTGTTCACATGCATGAAATCTCCAAGGTTTGAAACACTTCAAATCAAACTTGTTCACATGCACAGAAATCTCCA